CATTTTGACATAATGTGAATTAGTAATGTCGCAATATATTGTTTTCATTTCAAATTATCTACTAGCTATTTTTGTAAATCTTTCCTAAAATATTTATAAAGATATAATTCTGTTCTATATATTTCTGCAAACGATATTGGTTACCTTTATATAAAAAAGTAACAAATATTATGTGCGAAAAAATATTTAACAAAATTAAATTAATAAATACTTTCATACTTCTTCAAGCGAAAAACATTATCTTAACATTTGCTACAGAATATCTTCGCACATTTATTAAGTGCGCCTATTACATTGATTATTCAATGTGGCATTTGATTTCGGTATTTATTTTTACACACACTTTCTGCCTTGTATTTTAAAGGGTGCCCATTAAGATTGTGTTGAAAGTAAATGGTTATTACTTCGTAACAAATAGATCAAATAGATCGAATAATAGATCGAAGAAAATGAATCATCCGCCATTTTGTAGAGGAAACTTATAAATTTTATTAACATAAGTATAGAAAAAATATATAATGTTTTAATAGGTTAAACACACCTTGTAAAAAAAAGAGATAAAAATTTACTTGCGAGCATAAATTAATGATTTTCAAAATGTTGTTCGTCAAAATCGGCAACAGAACTACAAACTTTGAAAACTTTGAAATACATTAGCCAACATGGCTGTAGAAATGTTGCGAATGTATTTTTGGATGTTACTTTTTAGTTCTTCGATGTTTCTCGTTGTTTAGCCTGACATCGATTTTTGAGGTAACACTAGAGGAATAACATAAGAGGCGCGTTTTAAATTATTGAAATATTATATATAGTTTTTGTACGTATGGTAATAAAATTGATAAGTTGCCTCTACAAAATGGCGGTTGATTAATTTTCTTCGACCTATTTGTTACGAAGTAATATTTACTTTCAACACAATCCTAATAGTCACCCTGTACATACCTGTATTTCATACTGTTAATTATTTTATTTACTTGAAATAAATTGCGTAAATTATTCCATGTCAGTACGGAGAAAATTAGTAATAAGGCTACAAAAGCCAATGCCACGCATATATTAACGGTGACAATGGCAACGACGGTAACGCCGTGGCAATGAAGCTGCAGTTATTTTATCACGTTGATAAAGTGACTAAACAATAAAATCTGCCGCGCGCCAATGTGTTTTTGCATTGTTAACACGATGCGGTGATCGTATAACGCAACGGACCGCTATAATAATTTGTTATTGCCGGCGCGCAGGAAGATGTGTGTAATAAACGCTGGTTAGCGCATCGGTTCTACTTGATTAATTTTATCGAAATTGTCGCAACTAAGTTTAATCTCATCACATTGCGTTTTCATCAACGCCCTTGTTCACTTATTACAGATAATATAAAATAATGATCTTCATTCAACAGTATCTGTCTGATATAGAAGTTAGCTTATAATCACGCACTTTGAGGAAAAAATTGTATGTAATTAAAAAAGAAGAAGTTTAGTTTCTCTATCAACATTATACCAATATAAACTGTATTAGCACTTTTTAAAAATTATATTAGTTATCTTGGAATTATAAAAGATATACCATCACATAAATATATTTTAATTGTATTAAAAAATATATCCAGAGATTACTTAAGTTGAAAATTTTGGCATAGAAACGTCAAGATCACAAAAGTTTTTCAGTTATAAATATTTCGCATTGAAATATGCTCAAGTGACTCAAGCTATAACACGGCCCATTGTATTAAGCATTGGTTGGCGGCGCCAACCTTGTTCCCTACCCTCTTCACTAGCCCTCCCCAGCGCGATGCTTTCCAAGACATCTTTCTCTTCTCAGCTTTCTTCATGACATTTGCATACAACGCTCGTGGAAACGCGGTTGATTACGATCGCATATCGAATATTACACGACCGTTGCACTCCCGATGTTATAATAATTGCACGCATTTTACGCGATGCGAGACCAACGCGAGAAATATCGCGGAAAACTACACTCACTCTGTAAATCATAGCACAGTATGAATTTCGAACGCGGCAGTGCGACGGCATACGGCCAATCCATTCAAGTTTCACCTTGCGAAAATGATAACACACGACCTTATCGGTAAATACGCGCAAAAATAAATACCCTGTGTACCAGCCGCTACGAAATATTTTTTAAAAATATTCTCCGCCGAGCATCATTTTCTCCGCGCTCCCGATTAATTATTCATGTCGGTGGACACATATCGCGCGGCCCTACACTGTTACAAATATGTACTTATATGTGTATACAGGGTGTCCCAGGAGGAAAGGTCAATATTCTGGGAGGTGATAGTATCGGTCATTTTAAGCAAAAATGTTCATACGAATATATGTCCCATTCCCCACGGTTTCCGAGATAGAGCCACTTGAATGTCTAGTGTATTTACTTTTTTCTATACACTTAACCCTTCATCCAACCTCATAAACGTCTGCGGGAATTTACTCTTATACGTCTGTTGACCGTGAATTTATTGCCCTTGGAGTGAAATCTGTTTAGTGAAAAATTCATTGTTAAATCATGTAATCGTCGTGAATAAAAATTTGTAATTAAATTTTGATGTTGAAAACCTGCTAGCTCATATTAAAAGCCTGTCTCACAACAGAGGACTGTCCTGTGTATCAGCCTCGATAGGCTCGCGAGTCGGGAGCTCGTACGGTACGCGCGAGACCAACTAATTGTAGCGAACTCGGGGGAGAGCGACGCGAGACGCTTTCGGCGTCTATTAGTATCTGCCACAACGTAAATTTCCGAACAGCGAGGAAATAGCGGCCCGTGCCGCTAGTCGGCCGGTCAAGTGTCGGCGCGGCGGTCGAGTGATATGCGCGCCGCCGACCTTGTGTACGCAGCGCGACTGGCACGTGTATACGGCGCGCCGACCTTGTTTATGCAGCGCGCTACACGCCGCGAGACGGACGCGAAGCGTCAAATATTAGTCAAATATTTTCATAAAATATTCGATATATTAAATTCTGTAAAATATCCGGGGCATTGTAAAAAAAAAACAATACGCGCGTACGCCGAACAAACCTGATTCCCGCGTTACAGACCACTGTTGACTTGCGTTCTTATTACACACATATACAATTTATTATTGTTGTAAACAATCGGGTGGCTTTGGTCACTTTTTCAGTATTTGTTTGTACTGTGCAAATTTATCTTAAAATTTTGAATACCCATAATATGTGTATAAAAATCATTTAAAAGATGGAAATATCATAGCAATACCCATACAGTAGGCATGTCTAAAAGACATCTTTAAGATGTCTTTAAGTCATCTTTTAGATATGTATGTCTAAGAGACGACTTAAAGATGTCTTAAAGATGTCTTTTAGACATGCATGCTGTATGGGTAAGTATTGAAAATTTTTGCGTTTTGTTCTTATTACATTTACAATACATATATAATTTGTTATTGCCGTAAATTCGGGTGGTTCTAGTCACTTTTTCAGTATTTGTTTGTACTGTGCAAATTTACCTCAAAAATGTAAATATCTATAGTATATTATATATTGTATATTATAGTAAATTAAATTAAATGATATGTATAAAAGTCAATAAAAAATGGAAATGTGGCAATAAGTATTTAAAATTTTGAGGTAAATTTACACAGTATAAATAAATACCGAAAAAGTGGCTAAAACCACCCATGTTGGCCAAAGCCACCCAAGTTTATTACGGTATACAATATTATTAATTGCAAATTTCACTTATACGCAATTATCTGGTCCTTTCTTTTATTTAAATGGTTAATTTGTAGATGGTTGTAAATAAATTACGTTTAATCATTATATAGAAAACTGTCAAATCTTATTTATTCGAAGAATACGATTTAATAGTTCTAAATAAGTGACGTAATTAATTAACTACAAATTAATCAGTTTAATTAAAAGGAAAGACCACATAATTGCATATAACCGAGATTTGCAATTAATAATATATGATAACAAATTATATATGTATTGTATGCAATAAAAGGAAAACACACGTAAGTCGATATAATCGGACTTCTGTGTGAAGCGAAAAGGTTTTGATATAAACGTGTTAAACGATAACATTTTGATATTTCAATAAATCAGGAATTATGATATTTTAACAAGTTAAAAGAAATGGAATTAAATTATCGCCAAAATATACAGATTCTTAAAAGTACCTCGTGATTTATTATATAATCATACTATTTCAGTCTTCTAAAAAAAAGTAAATATCTTAAATTATATTAATTTTCGTGTACAGTTTTTTTAGGAAAACAAAACTACATTTTCCTCTTAATTGAACGTTAGATTTAATAATTTTTTCAATTTGAATTAATGTAGTTAATTAAAGAATGAATATATTTTCCGTTGAAATTAGTATTTGCTAAATGTATTATATAATAGTATCTAAATATGAAAACTTAAAAGGAAAAAATCAGCTGAGCGGTAATAAAATCGATATTATCTGCGAAAATCAACAACTTGATCGACATGAATGTAAGCGTAATTACAGATTTATAACCCGAAAATTATTGTAACCTGAACGTATATTTTTGTGTTAAGATTTTAAAATTGAATTAACATCTTAATTTTTGTACTTTCTATTGAAATACTACACGATACGATTGCGATTTTATTTTTTTACATGCCGCATAGATGTAAAACGATAAAAAGGCCTTGCAGGCAAGAACGGCTGAAAAATTAATAGCCAATGACGTTATTATATGCCGATGGCTAACAAAAACCAGGTCCCAATGTGATACGTCAATGTAGACGTGAATGTGACGTGAAAAGAAAATCATTACGAGTGATTATGTACGGAAATTGCGCTCGTCATCCCAACGTGAAACCAGATCTCAACCGAGCAAGCGAATGCGAGCGAATGTGAATAGATGGAAACAAGCTTGCTTTAACGAATACCTCCGGTATGAAACATTTACAGTAGCAAGTTGTTCGTTCGTGTTCATTTCCATTTGTTCGCTTCCAATTTTGAGAAGCGCTCGTGCGTGTATCACTTACCTTCACGGGTATGCAGAATATAATTAACAAAAGATCAGCCGTGGCCAGACAGCCCAGGAAAACGTTCGTCGGTGTCGCCGGCAACGGCCTGAGCCGACAAAGGGTTGAAGCGATGATAATGACATTCCCTAAAAAAGAAATGACAATTCTCTGACCGTAAAGAACCAATAACTTTCCTCAAAAGCCTTCCCGAAGAGAAGACCTTTTCCGAGCAGATTATAAAGTTATTTAATATTATATAATATAATATAATAAGATGTCGAGAGTAAACGAATAATTTCGATAAAGTCAAGATGACACTATTTGACACTTTTAAAGAAACACAATTTGACATTTTTCATGACCACGCTTTTTGATAGCTTCCGCCAAGAGAACGCAAATCGCTCGTGCGTGCAAAGTGATTAAAATCCCGCGGATATTATATTTTACGAATGTGTGAAAATGATTTTTGGAATATTAAGATATCGTGATTTTCCAAGATCACAGGATTAAAAATAAAAGTTCAAGAATACAAATCTAACAAAATATTGAATACACTTTGTCATGTAAAGCATATTCTTGTCACATTAGTATCATTTTTTGTTAGAAAGAACATGCATAAAAATGATATTCCTGACTATAATTATTTTATTATGCAATTATGGTTTTACATACTACATATTTTTCTATCAGTGCATTAATGTCACTATTTAACGTACCCACATTATATTAAATTAGCACAAAAATTTGTATGGACCGTTTGGGATGTGTAACATCTATTAAAAACGCAAATTTTTCAACTGTGCGTACCATTTATTCAGCGAAGAGAGACGTCAATGCTGTACTTAACTGGATCGCATTCCGAAAAATTTTCAAGTCTCTCGATCTGTCTCTTATTTTCAAATTATAATGACGTTATTACAGAAAATCGATGCGCGCCTGCCAATTGACCGCGTTTCGCGGAAATTCCTTCAAGTCCCACTTGTCGTAAACAATTATTAATCGTCATACGTCAAACGAAACAATTGCCGCGCCTCGGGGAAACTGGGGAACTGCGCTCAGTCACGTGGATTAATGAAGGATAATTCGGGGTACCTACAGGTCGCTCCGAAGTAGCTCGTATTATACCGGTAACTTGTGCCATAACACGACGCCGCGTAATTAAGAGCAGATTAGGCTCTCGCTGCACTTTACAAAGCGACGCTGCCGCGGTTTCCGCGCGGGAAACGAGATTCGACGTTCGCGAATACGCCGCTCGCTGCCGCGTCTAATTCGCCTCTTTGAGCGATGAATTACGGTATTACTCTGCCTTCATTGGTGAAACATTTACCATCCAATTAGCGATTTTGCGGAGCCGGCGAATATTTTAACCGTGCAACGATTTGTCTCTCTATGATTGTGATATGTACGATGTAACGACAAATAAATTTACTCGATAATAAAGCTCTATTATCCGTAATTCTCACCTTAATTACGGGCGCGGTTTAATATAAAGCATAGCATGTTACGTCGTGGTTTGTGCAGCGAAATTGTAAATCACGAGCGAGAAAGCAGTCGCTTGTAATTCTCCGGGGTCTTGTAGTTCTCTCGTACTCTGTCTTTTAATAACTCTTTTTTCTTCTCGGCGATTTATCGCGCAATTAGCAAAGTAAAAATGTTTCGGCGATGATTCTTTTGTATCGGTACTTTGCGCGAAAATGATCGATAGACGCATAAAAATAATAATTAATCGGAGGCCGATACCGATTCACGCACTGCTGGCTTGACCGTTCACAGGAACAAATAATTAGCAAAAATTTCGTAATCGTAATGACTCTCCCGTTTTTATCCTGCAGAAATTTAGTGACGGTAATTGACCCATGACAATGTTTCAATTTATACAATACGCTACAGAAACATCATTTTTACGAAGTCAACACTTTAATTTGAACAATGCAACTCTCGACATGAATAAAATGTAACGTACGTCATTAAAATGCATTTAATCAGGAACGTCTACAGTTCCGTGCGAATTATGTGGCGCTTTATTAGATTTTTTTCTTGCAAAATTTTAATGCTACGGAAGTCACGATTAAATTAAATTGTACTTAAATACTACGGTAACATCCCACTCGGACTTCTCACGCGTCATTAATATTAATAGTTTGGAAATTATTTGACTGATATCCTAAGACTAATAGCACAGGCAAAACTTAAGAGATAAGTTAAATGAAGTAAAATTAAGACAGAGGTATTAGACAAACCCACAGCATGGCTAGAATCTCTATTGTGTAGTAGAAGTTAATCTACGCTTTGAAAGTAAACGGCGTCCGTGTTGGGATAAAGTTATACAATTCACGATAGCACAGTTCTGCGCACATTGTACCCTGGATTACATTATATATCGAATAAACGCGACAAGAAGCTGTATTATATTAATATTCATGTAATATTAATATTCATCAAGCAGGTTAAAGCACGGTTAGACTTACAATTAGTTTACACGATCAATTGTGTCAATTAATTTAGAAAATCGGGTAAGATAGATTTTACAGAGACAAGTCGCTAAATCAAGTAAATTTTTAACACGAGAGAGAGAGAGAGAGAGAGAGAGAGAGAGAGAGAGAGAGAGAGAGAGAGAGAGAGATTTAAGATGATAACATTTATACAATTGTGTAAAAATGTAACAAAAAGAACAATAAGAAATAAAAAGAGAATTATTGAGAAACACTGCTGTTGAAGTTTGGCAAGTGAACATCACAAAAGTACGCATCCGTGTATTTTACACGCACTTTTTACACGTACGTATTTTACACGTGTTTTCCAATTTATTCTAAAATATTTCCGATAAATACCATAAATTCTAATTACATCAATCGATCGTCCCTTGCAAAATGTATAGAAAATATTATGGGATAGAATTCTAATATGAGATAGCAAAGTCGTCAAATAATTTTTCTTCCTGATGAGATAGCAGGTTTTCCAAAACTCAAATTCAATCACAGAACTTTTTCAGCGATCACACAATCTAACAATGAATTTTCTACTAAACAGCTCTCGCTCCAAGGGCAATAAATTCATGGCGGAACCAACAGATGATGCCTATTAATTTAGCAGAAACCCGGCTATCTCATCAGAAGCCTATCCCATAATAGGGAACTTTCCTCTATGTGTATATTCTCGATTAAAACACTACGCGTTTGTAACTGAAAGTATTAAACTTACCGATTAATCCGAGAAAGAAAGTCAAGGTATAGACCACCAGGACAGGCGCCAGTTCCGCCCATTCGAAGTGACTGAAGGAATCGTTGATGTCGTAATCAGGAAAATCCGTTATATTTGTGCTATTCGACTGGACGTCGTCTACTAACTCGTCGATGGCCGACATCGCGGTGAGATTCTCGAGGTCCATCTCGGTTTGAAAATGACATACAATGCGAACTCGTGCTCGTTATTGTGTCTTACTACGGTTGCCACATTTTAAATGGCAGCGCATGGAAACGTGCGCGCGTGATCGAAAGAACAGTACCGAGTGGAAGGATCTATTTTTAAAGTTTATGTTAAAAAGATCTTATTTTTAAATTTACGTTAAAAGGATCTATTTTTACACGTATGCTCGTCACGACTCGTCGCGCATTTCTATGCAAAACTGGATTCTTTGCACCGAAAGGGCATTTAAACGTTTAGATGCGTGGCAGGTATAATGTACAGTGTTGTGGAACTGCTTAATGAAAAGTAGGACATACGACGACCCTAAGTTTTACGCGCGATAGAGCTTTCACCGAGCTTCCTGCTACTGTCCAGGTACCCACACGAATTGTTTTGCCTGAGTTTCCTCGTTCTCATCCTAGCACGATTCGTCGTCTCTGGAAAAAAAAACAAAGTGAAACCGTCAGTACGCAATGAGCGTAATATTTTGCTTTCGTTCGATGAAACCCGCTCGTATAAACTTTTATGAATCAGCTAGCGTACCTTTTCTCTTAATAATACAAGATAATCCAACTTACAATCAAAAAACTCGAGCTTGTAATTTGTAATACAATGTTAGATCCATGGCAGAGTAAGCGAGCAGGAATAAAAATTTTATGAGTTTTTTGAAATTTTACTATACATCTTATTAGTAATTGTACGCATTGTTAGTATACACTTTATTAGTACAATTTCAAAAACTCTCAGTTTAGCCTCGTGTAATTTTTGAATTGGGAGCTAAAATCTTCGTGTTGGAGAAAATATATTGAATTTTTTATCTTAGATAGGCCTGAAAAGAGTCGCTATTTCCCATTTAGCAGTAAAGAGGTCAATGCAAGTGTAATTGACAGAGGTTCAGGAATCCTCTTCAGCCTAAAAGGTTTCAAAGAGAGTGAAATATTTTATTACATTCTCTCTGAGAGTTAGAATGAGGTTAAACACATTTCTTTTACTCATCTGGACCTCAAATTGGAGTTTTAAACCGACTCCGAGGTTCAAATGAAGACAGACTAGAATAATTTAGGCCCGTTCGCTGCTCCTTGATTACATATTTTTCAGGGAAAATTTTAAAAGAAAATTCTTCCTGTGTAAATACGTAAATGTAAAAGGTGTAAAATATAAAAATTATTTAAACAATATAATTCGATATTATTGACGTCTATAATAATTTACGGAATGTTTCTAGCTCCATTGAGCTCATCAGCCGCGATGATAATGTTGATAATAGAGGGGAAGTCCTCTATTATGAGATAGGTTTCTAATATGAGATAACAAAGTCGTCAAATAATTTTTCTTCCTGATGAGATAGCAGGATTTCAAAACCCAAATTCAATCACAGATCTTTAATTATAAAGAATTGATTGAAAGAGCGCTAAGATTGAAGCGCTGAAATTGCTTTCGTTTAATTTTCTGAAACTGAAAAACTGAGAAATCTTACAGTAGTTTGAACGTAAACGTCCAATTGTCAGCAATAAAATGCGAATCTTATTTACAAGTGCTAAAGGAAGCTACTCGTGCTGGAGATTCCCTGTACAGATTGAGAGAAGGGCGCAATCAATAAAGATCAGCGGCAATTGTGTCCCCGGGAAAGGGAATTATTCGTCCCGCCCACTAGCGTGTTAAACGATCCCTTTAATGAAACTTCAGCTTTAGCTCGGCGTATCCGGGGACTAAGATCCTGACAGCTCTGCCGTATCGCGTTTCGCGGGCGAACTAATGATTGTCTTCCGATCGATAATCGATGTGTGCCGTTCGATTCGTCATAATGCGGCGAGACGTGGCCGCTCAAACGCGCCGCGTATAATTTGCCCGCATAATTTTGGAAAGACAATCGAACGAAAACCCGTATCTGCGACATTAATATCGGAAGTACACTTTGAGGAGGAGAGACTTATTCCGCGGACAGTCGCGATCGATACGAAAATACCATCGTCCGTAAATTCCAGATTCCACACGAAAACAGAACTAGGTGCCAAAGAGAAAGGAAAGAAAAAAGTAGAACCGAGGTTGAGAAAACTGAAAACATTTAAATTGTATCAATTTCATTCATCTCAAAATTGCTATTGTCGGCTCCGGTTTCCTTCCACACCTTGAATTCGTAAGGAACGTAATAATCCGAACAGTTTTCATCTCGAGCTCGTTGAAGAATAATTCATATCGGAAGAAAAGGCTTTTAACGGATCATTCGAAGAAAATTTCAACAGGTCGCCATTAAGTCGCCAAAATTCCAAGCATTTAATTAACGCTCTGTTGCAAAGGTTTCTCTTTATATCTTTTCTATTCGATTTTTATATGCCACGGGAAAACGTTTGAGAGCCGAATCTCGAAGATAACGTGAAAATGAGATTGACTGTTCCTGCGTTCGAATTTCGTTTGCGCAAACACGTGCGCACCCGTGCAAAACGCACCGAACCTGAGGTACTGCCCGCAAAGAGTAAGACCGATCGCTACAGTACTCTCGAGTGACGCCTCAATAAATATCGCATTTCGATTAGCGGCGCGACCGCATAACTCGAACTCTTCCAATGGAATAGCTCGCGTACTTTAAATGCAGCTTCGTACGTAATAAACGTTCACTCGTCGGGAAAACCGCGTAAATTACGTGGTGTTCCTGACACAAATGTTTCCCGCTCACTGCTTTCGACACTGTGCATCAAACCCCGCTTACGGAGTAGCTTGCCCGAGCGCGTACGAAAGAAGAATTGTGCCGCAATCGTTGGATATTGGCAATGGAAGCTAGTGCCGAACATCGTCCATTTCCACTTTTCAAGCTGTCTCGTGTTTGCTAATAATACTAAATAACATTTTATACGGCGTATTATTAACTCTTGCACTCACGCGCGGTGTTTTGCGCGCGAAACAGTATTTTCTTTTGTAACAACCGCATACAGAGTCAAATTGTTTATTTTATTATTACATATATAAATTCGCAGCTGTGAATCAATAAACCAAGTGTATTTTATTAAAACGCGTTGCACACGTGCTCCTTTCGATCCCGTACGAAAACAGATACTTTCCTATAAACTATGAGAAAAGGTAACATATTACATACAGAAGTTTCTTTAAAAATTTACCCTGAAAATCATGTTAATCGTGGAACAACGTGACATTTCGAAGAACTTTACAAGAGTTTTTTGAAATTTTACTAATAAAATGTACTAATAAAATACTAAGTATAATTACTATAAAGTTATAGTAAACTATACAGTTTACTATAAAGTTTACTATAAGTTTACTTTATAGTAAACTGTATAGTAAAATTTCAAAAACTTGTAAAATTCTTCGAAGTGCCATGTTGTCTCACGATCGCATGATTTTCAAGATAAACTTTAAGAGAACATTCTGTCCGCGTAGAAAAGCATAACGAGCCTCAAATATTATATAATTATAATTACAAGCTGTGTAATATGTACCTATATAAATCGTTTATTTCAACTTGTAACCAAGAGAGGACTTGGTTTACAACCATTGTCTTTACTCATTCATCCATCCACGTATCCTAAAGACCGAATCAGACTAGCAATTGCCGATTCGGATTGGACTGGGATTGAGATTGGCGATTGACGATTGACCTCTAGCCAATGAGAGTCGATTAAATCACTGGCTGCTGTGCTCTCATTGGCTAGAAAACAATCGCCAATCGCCAATCCCAATCCAATTCGCGTCGACAATTGCTAGTCTGATCATAGTATACTAGTAGGTCCACTCTCGGCCCCCTTTAATCTTTGCGCTCCCGATCGCGTAGTATTCCGCCATACACCCGGGCAGGATCCAGCACGGGCGTGCGCGTCACCATGAATTATTTATATCGCCCTTGGAGTGAAATCTGTTTAGTGAAAAATTGATTGTTAGATCGTGTATTTGTTGCGAAAAAAGATTTGCGATTGAATTTGGATGTTGAAAACCTGTTATCTTGTATTAGAATCCTATCTCATAATAGAGGCCTTTGCTCTAATGATATTGTCGTATTAAAAAACGGCCAAATGGTAACAAGTTTTGAAATTATCACGGCGATACAGCTATTGCTTTAAGGTCGTTATTTGACGCCTTTTCGGAAGACCGTTGGCATATCCGACGAGAGGCTGGGATTCCATTTCCGACGGAGAAAATCGAATTATCAAATCCAGCGGCGCGGCGGCACTGCAACTTGGGATCGCAGATACATCGCGGCCGCGTCCGTAATGCATTTCCCGAGCGAGCGATATTGTACGAGAGAAAAACGACAGTAAGGTCGTTCGGGTATAATGACGGTGCTGTACGAGTTAACCCGCGGTCTCCAAGCACGTTTAACGGAGTTCGCTAATGATATACCAAAAAAAAAAAACAACGCGGATAAAACCAAACGCCGTAAATGCTTACCGCGCGGCCCTCGCAATCCGCAACTGCAATTTTTAGTCTACACTCTATCAAAAAGAATTCCCGATAGCAAGACAAAACATATTCTTGAGATATTTAAACTCGTCGCAACCTCACATGCAGTAAAAAATTTAAACGACACTAAAGCCAACGGCACACGATACTATTTTTCCTCCTGGATTGCTTATGAAAGCCAATAAGGATGCAGAGTTTTCGATCAGATATCTTAAGGGGATCCTAAAACCGCTGGCGAACTCGATCAGTGTCGACAAGATAGTTATCGACCGTGGACTCAAGATTAAATCAATTCTCAGTGAATACCAAGTGACAGTTACATAACATCAGTATTATAATTTCCTATACGCGTGTTATATTACATTTACATTGTTAAGTAGGAAATTAGAATATTGATGTTATATAACTGTTACTTGGTGTTTACTGGGCTCCTATTTCCCTCTCTCGAGTTCAATAAAGCCCACAGCACACGATACAATTTTTCCCCTACTGTGGATTGCTTACGAGAGCCAATCAGAATTTACCCTTAAGTCACCTGATCTAAAACTCTGCATCCTTATTGGTTCTCGTATTAAATAGTATCGTGTGCCGTTGGCTTAAGATAGACTGACTATGTTGAGATAAGGGTAAACGTAGAGGAAAGGCCTGTATTGCAAGATAGGTTTCTGATGTGAGATATCAGGTTTTCAACACCCACATTCAATCACAAATCCCTTTTCGCAACGATTACGCGATCTAACAATGAATTTTCCACTAAACAGATTTCGCCTCAAGGGTAATGAATTCATGATGGGATCAACTGATGATGCCTATTAATTTAACAGAAACCGCGCTATCCCATATTAGGGTCCTATCTCATACTAGGGGACTTTCCTGTGTATAATTTTTGTTATATTTTTACATTTAAAATAAACTTTCTTTCGATGTGTTATATCACAGCAGCAACACCATTTTATTCTAGATTTAAGAATTTTCTAAATAATATGATTGCCTATATCCCATTTAATGATAGATCGAAGTGGCATTG